ATGCAGTGGCACTTCTCAAATAATAAACCAAGGATCAAAAGTGATCTTCTGGTTTACTTTTTCACCAAACTATTTTTTCTACTGATATCCAATTGAATAGCCTGATAAACAAGACTAAATGTGAGATTAAATGTGTAATTTAGTCTGGCCCCGATGAAAGAGACATTGGTTGATGAGAACAAACGGATGTTTTTCAAACCATGTCTGGCCCCGATGAAAGAGACATCGGTTGATGAGAACAACCGGATGTTTTTCAAACCATTTCTGTGCCTATTGGCCAACGCTCTGACCAATGAGCGCAAGTGACTGTGACGTAGTAAGCGCAAAAGAATGCTGGTGGGGGAGTGTAAACAAACAGCCCTTTGGGTAAAATGGTGAATACGTCCTTCTTAAAAATGAATGAGTGTAGAGTCCTCTTCCTGCTCACGTTTCAACGAAAACCCCAAGTCTAATCCTTCCAAAACTGATTCCAAAGCTGAGTCAAAAAATGCCATCAGAGCCAGCGGTCCTTCACACACGACTATGCCGAGAGAGGGCCGCTGCAGATGGGCCGCAGTTAGCCTTCGCTGCCGTTACCCTTGGATGTCCGCTGGTTGCCGCGGTCCTCTCAACTTTGGAGATAAAAAGCTTCACTTAAAAAGTGACAATGTTGGCTGCATGCTGATACACAAACCAGAAATTCTGTATATATGAAGGCAGATTTTCAACCAAGCCAGTGTCTGAATGATTCCTGCCATATTGCTGGGTTGGTGGTTAATCAAGATGCAGAGGTGGGGACTGAAACTTTACAGCTAGACACTGTAGATCATGCAGCCATGCAGCTGCTGTCCTATTCCAACAGCGTTCAACCTATTACTCCAATGTGATTTTGCAACAAGAAATAAATTTTAAAAAATCCTCTGTTCATTCATATTGCTTTTTTTTCCACGATGATTCTTTTAGAAACATGAACACAAACACAGAGAAGGGTGCTTACATGACAGAGGTGTTCAGGTCCACTGGGAGAGCAGTTAGTTTGATACATGATTCAGAGACGTCAACAAACAAGGTTAATTAAGCTCATCAAGCGCATGAGTAACTGCACTGGAAAAAATCTAAATCTATATAAGTCATTTTTTCTTAAAATTAGTGCATTTGTTCCTCAATTGAAGGGGTAAAATAGACATCTTGCCAATGGAACAAAATAATTTACATTTAAAATAAGAAAACACAGTTGCATTGTCTTATTTCAAGTGCATATCATCTAAATATCTTATTTTAAGAGTAAAAATACTCATTCCATTGGCAAATCATCTCATTTACCTACTCAGATTAAGGGTAAATACACTTAATTTAAGAAAGTTTTACTTA